CTATTCCATTGAGGTCTATTCCTATAGATTTTCTTTGTTTTGTGTGGAGCATAGTCTTCTGTTTCTTCAATTTCCTTCTTTGTTCATTTTTGCACATTAGCTAAAACAGCCACCTCTCCCAGTCTTGATAGAATAGTCCTGTGTAGGAAATGAATCTCTTGAATCAGTCCACCCCAAGGTCCTAGCTGTCCCTCAAACCTCTGAGCTTGTCCAAAACACCTGCTTTGTTATTAGTGGCTCTGTACCTGAGGGTGCTCCCAAACCCATCAGCGTCCCAAAGGGGAGACTTGCAATCAGCACCTGGATGCAACCTAATTATAAACTGGACCCTCATCAGCTAGGATACTATGTACTTAATCCCCCTCCAGAGAGACCCTGGAAGATGGGCATTTTTGCCTGCTCCCTCTGTGCTGGGCCCAGGATATAGCCAGCAGGAGAGTTCCTATAACTGTTTAAAAAAAAAAAAATGCTTTGTGTGCTATAGTATTATGGGACTCAAGAATACAAGCCCCATCAGTTCACAGAGCCAAGCAAGTGGGGGCATCCCTTGAATAGCAGCTACAAAAGCTAGGATGCCAGATATTTGTACACTCCTTCCAGGGAGATGCTATTGACTTAGCTGTACTGTTGCAGCAGGCTGGAGGGAGGGGACAAGGAAGGTGCCAACAGTTTCCCAGCCTCTGGTGAGGATTGCAGCCAGCCAACACATATGTGCTATAGTTAGAAGCTTCACCCTCAGATAGCAGGGGGTTTTTAAAATTTTTTTTAAATTCAATTTAGTTAACATAAAGTTTATTATTAGTTTCAGAAGTAGAATTTAGTGATGCATCAGTTGCATATTATCCCCAGTGCTCATTACATCAAGTGCCCTTTTTTTTAAAAAAAAAAAAAAAAAAGAAGAAGAAGAAGAAGAAGAAGATTTTATTTATTTGCCAGGGAGAGGGGGGGAGAGAGAGAGAGAGAGAGAGCGAGCACAAGCAGGCAGAGTGGCAGGCAGAGGCAGAGAGAGAAGCAGGCTCCCTGCTGAGCAAGGAGCCTGAAGCAGGACTCGATCCCAGGACCCTGGGATCGTGACCTAAGCCGAAGGCAGTGGCTGAACCAACTGAGCCTCCCAGACATCCCTCAAGTGCCCTTCTTAATGTCTATCACCCAATTATCCCATCCCCTCACCCATCTCTCCTCCGGGAACCTTCAGTTTGTTCCCTCTAGTTAAGAGTCTTTTGTGGTTTTTATCTTATTTTTCCTTCCCTTCCCTTATGTTCATCAGATAGCAGGTTTTTAAAGTATGAAAATAAACCTCGTGGGGAATACTGGTATAGGGTGGTTTTGCCTATTCCCTCTGTGCTGAGCCCTGGGGGGTTAGCTGGTTAAGAACTGCTTCTTGGCTATAGTTCTGAGGGACTTGTGAATGGAAGCCCTATTGGCTTTTAGAAGTAGGTGTTTATGGGCCTCATCCCTCATGTGAGAGTCTTAAAAGTTGGGGTATTAGATGTGCTGTCCATACCCTATGCTCCTCATGGAGAAGCTGGGAGTTGGGGACTTGCTGCCAATTACAGGACACTATGCCAGGAGCAGGGTTTATGGCAAGAGTGTGTCTCAGCCTTTCCTACCCATTTCAGTGTGGGTGTTCTTTCATTTACCCAGGGTGTATGAGCTGCTGGGCTAGATTCTGGATCTTTCAGAGAGAACTCCTCCGTGTGCAGCTGTACATATGATGTGCCTGTGGGACGAAAGGAGCTCAGGAGCCTCCTATTTCCTCATCTTAATCAGCTCTCTTCCGTGTTCAATTGCTTGCACTATTTCTTCTGTTAATTAAATCCGTATTTCTAGACTGACCATTTCTCAAAAATGCAAAATACTTCCATTTCTTTGTTCCATGTATTTGTGTTCCATATCTCCTAGAATCCCTCACCATCCTTTTGTCCCCATCTCCTACATCCTTTTCATTTATATCCTTTGTCTTCTTTTACTCCCTTCCTTTGTGGCATTCCTTGAGAAATACATCTTTAGCATAGATTATTATGGAAGATGATGTTTTTGAGTTCTTCTATGTCTGGAAATATCCTTTCTTTTACTGATGGTGTTGTTTAGGTGGACAGACTTTAGAATGAAGAGAAGACTTTTGAAGGCATTGTTCCATTGTTTTAAGTATTTTATTTATTTTAGAGATAGAGAGGGGAAAGCAAAGGGGAGAGGCAGAGGGAGAGGAACAAGAAGATTCCACACTGACAGCAAAGCCTAACGTGGGGCTTGATCTCACAACCCTGAGGTCATGACCTGAGCTGAAATCAAGAGTCAGATGCTTACCTGACTGTGCCACCCAGGGTGCCCGTTACATAGTTTTCTACCTTCCATTGCTAAGAAGTCAAATGCTATTCTGAGTCTGGATCCTTTGAATGGGACCTATTTTCTTCTCAGAAACATTTAAGATCTTGTCTCTAGCCCAGTGATCTAAAATTTTTCAACTTGTCTGCTTTGGTTAGGGTTTTTTCTTTTTTTAACTTTTGCTGAGAGTATAGAGCTTTTAAATCTGGAAGCCCATGTCTCAGCTCTGAGAAATTATTTACTTTCTAGGATAATTGTGCACCCTTTTCACCTCCTCTCTCTTCTGGAATCTACTAGTTAGGTGTTACATTCCCTAGAAAAATCAGATTTCCTTATTTTCGCTCACTTTTCATCTGAGTTTTTATCCTAGTATTTGTAACATTTTAATTTGATCTTCCTAACTATTAAATGTTTTATTCTTTCAAAAATAATGTCTTTTGTGAAAATTTTTAATAGCATGCTCATTCCCTATGTGAAATCATTATCTTCTGAAACATTACTCTTGACCTAGAGTGTCATAAATTTTGTGATAGAATGTGCTACCTGAGAAAAATTTTGCCACTTCAAATATTTTCTTTGTATAGGGTTTGAACACCCAAAAATATATGCCTTTTAAGTTTCCCTGTTAATTAATTTTAAATGATTTCTTCAAAACTTGTTAAGTATCATAAAGTGTTGGCAAGAAACAGAAAAAGTAGCTTATGAACATCTGTGGCATGCTACAAATGGAGCTGCAGTATAAATAACTGTGAAATAAAAAGACATGGAGATGGTTCCAGCAATCAGACTTGGCCAAAGCACAGGGTTTTTGGCAATGGCTTGGAATGTGGAATGCATTGCCCACTTAAATCAAGGTCCAGATGCTTGTTATTTCTTTTTTCCAGTTTCCATTCACCATAATAGGGTGTGTGTGTGTGTGTGTATGTGTGTGTGTGTTTTAAGGTCTTCAGGCCTCTGAGCAAGAATTCAATCTTTAAAAAATGTTCCATGCCCAAGCAACATCTTATATACATGCCATTTATTTAAATGAGTGATATGGATGGTTTTATATTGGCATTCTTATTGCAAATGATAATGGTACCTTGTATCAGTTGATTAAGTTTATAAAATGCTTTGATATATAGTCTTTCACTAAAAACCCTGGAAGCTTTAATCCTCATTGCAGTTTGTAAAAGCAGACGGTAATAGCACAATGATTAAGAATCTCATTGTTCTTAACTGAAAAATAGGATAATACTGATCTTGTAGTGTTTGTGTGTTGTTACTTTATATATGTACAGTTAATGTGTTTGATACATAGCACTCAAAAATGGTTGCCGTTGTTGTAATGCTAGAATCTGTCATCTTAGAGACTTTAGCTGTATTATAATGCATTGCCTCAGTAGTCAAGAATCTGATTTCCTGGAGCTCCAGAAAGTTGTTACTTCCCCACTTAGTATCTTCTGTACCAAGTAGAGCTGTCCTCCTTCTGTTTTTCACTCATTTATAAAATGTATTTCCATCTTTTGTGTGTTCTGCATTCTAATTCAATTACAAACTTCTCAAAAATAGGAATCCTCTCCCAAAAGTCTTGTACAAATTTAAGATTCAAAATGCTATCAGCTGACTCAAGTTGGTTTTACACTCATAATTATTTTCCTGCTAAGTCTGCTTTTGGAAAGAATGCTTAGTTTCAGGCAACCAGCAAACAGCTTTACTGCTTGAATTTCTTAAAAGGATTTGTTCTAACTATTCTATGAATACAGTGTGGTAAATATCGCATAGCAAGTTAATGCATAATTCTTAGGATCAAACATACTTAGAACACCAGGGCATCTAGGTTAATTTTGTGTTTTGTTTTTTAATGTAAAGAGTTAAGGCCTAGCCTACATGAATCTGATTTGTACAGGAAGAAAAGTCAGTATTTGTGCCCATGCTCTTTCATGGTCATACTACCATTTCCCTATTCTGGAGGTATGGCTTCCTGTGATCCACAGAACACCGGAGTTCCAGGAGACAGAGACAGGAAATCTTTGCATAGAAATACTTTCACATGCACCTGTTCCCCTAGCTTAGTCCAGTAGGTCTCAAATGTCAGTGGGTATAGGATTCACCTTGGGAACTTGTTACAAATTCCTACTTAGACCCCCTCAAAAAATTGATTCAGCAGCCAAGATGAAGCAAGAAATCTGTGTTTTAAACAAACTTTCCCAAATGCCCCTCTATCATGTGATTCTGACATACATAGTTCAAGCCCCACAAGGTGAAACATTGGCCAAGTCTGAGGCCGTGTCCAGGGTTGGGATAATAAGAAATAAAAGGCAACCTTCCCATTAAGTAGTGAAGTAGCGAAAACATTTGAAGGAGAGACTCCTGGTTGCTGGAATTAGCCTGGATCCACCATATACCTCTTCCTTTTGTGTTCCTTACCAATTTGCCTAGTTGTTTCTACTAGCTAGCTGTCTTTTTAAAAAACAACACCAATTTTTTTTATTAACTTAATCCTTATACAAAACATCAGACAAGGTGTTCGATCAGTAGAGTTTATTTCCCCATGCTGCTTCTCAAATATATGTGTACTCACCACCTCATGATTTCAAAATAGAATCAAGGATTTCAATATAACAAAGAAAGATTGTTTCCTACCCCTGAAGAATGTATTACAATTTTTTAAAAAAAATTTCTCTCCTACACAGCTATGAATTCCAGGTGAAACCCAAAAACCCACTTGGAGAAGGCCCACCCAGCAACACGGTGGCATTCAGCACTGAATCAGGTAATCACATCAACAGTAATGCCCACCCAGGATATTAATAGGCCACAGTGTTTTGCCTAAAGAGCTTCTCTGAAACACAGCTAAATGAACAGTGTATAGAACAGTGTATAAAGTGTTTAATTTTGAGAAAGCAGATTGATAAAAAGAGCCATAAGGAAACATTACATACATCTTTTCTCACTTATTTTGATGTCAGAAAAAAAAAAGACATACCAGTTTAAAAGATAAAAAGTTTATCAATGTATACTCAAAAAACTAGTGAATGAATACTCCCTCTGGATGCTTAGAATCAATGGCCAGAATCAAAATATCAGACACAGTCATAGTACGTCCAGAAACGGAATTCATTTGGTAGTTTTTTTGATAAACAGCTGTGAAAATGTCTGATCTTCTATACTCCAATTTCTTTAAAAGATAGATCTGTACTCATAGCGTTAGTAGTGTCATTTTTACACCAGCTGCACTTCATGGCATTCTGGTGACTTTACCATCAGTAATTTCTGTCTGAATCTGAAAGAGGAAGCTTTAAAATGGAGTGAGAGCTTGAAGAGCAACAAAGATTCCAAAAGATACAGCTGAGTACCTGGCAGGAGACTGTTTATGGAAAATAGCTCTAAAACAAAACACACTTCAGTCTTTAGCAAGAGTGTACCATTTTGCAAGTCAGACTTAACTGTCAGGATCCAACTGCTTCACTGTGCTGCTGGCCCGCTGGGACTTACCTAATGTACTATCTGACTCTTGTTTGCTGTTTCTCTTCAGCGGACCCAAGAGTGAGCGAGCCAGTTTCTGGTAAGTACCTGTCTCCGTGTGAACATAACTACATGCCTTTCTAAACTGATTCAACTAAACAAGCATGGTGGCATTTTAGTCATGATTTCATTTTAGTCCACTTTGTCTTAGACTATCAGTCAGGTGGGAATGCTTACCTAGAACCCTCCCTAACACTGAGAACCTGTAACGTTTGGGGGGAACAAGTCGTGTATTTTGAAACTTGCTTTTCATTCATTTCATTCAGCTCAAAATTTCAGTTATGTAAGTCAAGACACAACCTCCTCATTTCCACTTTTAATGAGAAGTCACATTAAAGCATCAGTTTAAATTATATACTATGCTACCAAAAACAAACAACCCCCCCTCCCAAAAACAAAACACAACAACCTAAATCTGTCCCTAAGGGAATGCTGGCCACATGCAGCCCTGCACAGGTTACTTGAAACCTAAACATACTGCTTATCTCGCTACTGACAGGAACTTAGGTGGGAGTTTATATGTTTAAACTCAATACATTATTTTGGGTCCAATATTTAGCATTGGAGAAAACCAGGTTATCAGCAGGCTGACAATGAACTTTGCAAATGACTTTTTAAAAAAATATTTAGTACTTTTTAGCTAAAGATATTTAGCTCTTCAGCACCCAAATGCTAAACTCAAGGCATGTGTTTTCCTTATGCAGCCGGAAGAGATGCCATCTGGACTGAAAGACCCTTTAACTCAGACTCCTACTCAGAATGTAAGGGCAAACAGTATGTCAAACGGACGTGGTATAAGAAGTTTGTAGGGGTGCAGCTGTGCAACTCTCTCCGCTACAAGATTTATCTGAGTGACTCCCTCACGGGTAAGCAAGGCTACCGGCTCTGTTTCAAGCCTTCAGGGAATGCTTCACAGCATTCTGTAACCTGGCCTTTCCTACGGATGGCTCCCCACACCAAGGTGTGATAGAAACAGTTCTTCATTTTGAGCAACATGTTACTGGAATACTCAGCCTGGGATTAGAGGCATGCGATCAGAATGTAAATAATGAAAATGCAGTGTGAAACAAAATCGTCCGGGCAAACTTGCATGTGAACGCACTTGCCACACTGAAGCTCACTGTGTCACAGCCACCAGGCACAGAGAGCCCACTGATGATAAAATGAGTGTATGTAACAGTCATCATGGAAGGAATAGGGCAGATTTAAGATTTAAGTCTCCCAGAGATCAAAACACCTGACAGCGAGGGTGATAACTCCTTGCTCCAGATTCAGTGGTAATGTTATTTTCTCTTTTGTATTCACACAATAATAATTTTAAACAAAAAAGAAAAAAAAATTTTAAACAAGGCTGGTCACAACAACACGGAGAGGTAGACATTTGGTCAGTCATTCAGCAAATAGCTGCTTTGTTCAGAGGTTTTCTAGGTGCTAAGGACAAAGCAGTACACAGCTTCTAATTTAGTAGGGATAGACCGCAGACATGTAAATAAAAATTGCATGCAGTGCTTTGAAGAAAAATTAAAAAGGGTGAAAGAAAATGTTCCAGGGGAAGCTTCTTTAGTTAGAATGGCCTCTCTGAAAAGCTAAGGTTTATGCTAAGTAGAAAACTATGAGAAGGAACCACCCCAGCAAAACTCTAGGGATGAAGCACTAGAGGTAGAGGGGAGAAAAAGCAAGGGCCCTGCTGGAACATGCCTGGCCAGGCCCCTGGTGTGGCTGAGGCTTCAGAAGGAGAGGGGCAGCCAGACAGACAGGTGTGGAATCCTGTGGGACTTGGACACCAGGTAAGGATTTTGGGTTTTCTTTTGAATATAATAGGTGTGTGCAGGGGGGATTTATGAAGAGTAACATCTGAGCTGCATTTTAAAAAGATGCCTGATTTCTGGGATGAGTGGAGGGGTAAGGGAGTAAGAGAGAGAGAGAGGAGTAAAAGCAGTGGTGGCAGCTGAAGACTTCCAGTGTTCAGTCAAGAGACACTGGTGGCTTGAACTAGGGTGAAGGGGGGGAAAAGTAAAAATAGAAAAGACTATCAGAAAAAACTGGAATATTTCAGAATTATCCTCTATCGAAGATAGTAACACTTCATGATCCTTTAAATTTCTCGTTCCTTAGGAAAATTTTATAACATAGGCGATCAGAGAGGCCATGGAGAAGACCACTGCCAGTTTGTGGACTCGTTTTTAGATGGACGCACAGGACAGCAACTCAGTTCTGACCAGTTACCCACCAAGGAAGGTATGTTTTCTGGGCCTCCTCCTAAGTAAGGGGATTTTTCAAATTAACACAAAAAGAATTCAAGCTAAGGAAAACAATCACTTCAAAAATAATTCTACAGTACTACTGCTCTAATTATCTGACTAGGAAAAAAAAAAAAAAACTTCATGTAAGACCTTAATAGAAGTTTCTCAACTTTCCTACCAGTCCTTAAGACTTGACTCCTTAGAGAAATTACACAGACCTCTATAGACATTCCACTTCAAGAAAACTTCACTTTGCAAAAACAGAGTAGTGTTTCCCAACCTTAAATCACTCCTGTATTACCTTATACTTACACAGAGCACACAGCCATTTTTTAATTCCCTTATTTGCCACATAAATATAATTAAAATCAAAAAATTCTGGTGAGTAATGAATAACCACTGCAACTTGCTAAAGACATATTAGCACTAAGCTGCTCCATGAGGATTTAAAAGACTGAAAATTTAATCCTTAGCCAGGCAGGGCAGGAGAGAGTAAATTAAATGTCCATGTTACTCAGCAATCACTCAGAGGTTTCTGCATTATTTGACTAGTCTTTTCAGCAACATGTTTTGTTACAGAGCACTTAAGTCCCCTTTTACTATAGTTGGTGTTTTTATCTGTGAACCCAATTAACAGGAAGTTGAAAGTGCTGCCACTCAGGCACTGGATATAAAATATACTGTAAATTGTGTACACTGCCAAAACATTTTACATCTGTTGCAAAAATTATCATTTATTATAGAGTCCTTGAAGGAAGATTTCACCTAAGTTTAATTTTCAGAAATTTAGCATTCCTGCCATTGTAGTAACTAGCCCTGTACTTGGTCAGTTCTTCATAGACCATGACTAGTCCATACTGCGCAGACTACTGAACGTGCTCAATCACACTCAAAACACAAACCAGCCCCCGACCCTGACTCCTGCCCCTTTTCAGCTTTGTCTCCCAGATGCTACCAACCAGCTCATTCCACCTCGTTAAGGCACAGGTCAGAGGAGTTTCAGGCACCCCTCATGTTTAGCTAGCCATTACAACCTCCAGGAGACACCAGGCTGTTTGGTATTCTCCATTTTCTAAAATACTTCACATCACCTATAGTAACATTCAGTCGTACAAGGACACCCTTCCATCTGTGAGTGGTGTGGGCAAAAATATAGCAGCTATTAAAATAAAATTATTTTCCTTCTTAGGCTATTTCAGAGCAGTTCGTCAGGAACCTGTCCAATTTGGAGAAATAGGTGGTCACACCCAAATCAATTATGTCCAGTGGTATGAATGTGGGACCACAATTCCTGGAAAATGGTAGATGCTACAATCAGAATCAAAAGTGCCTTCTGTCTTATCATGGCAAAAAAATAATTGGAAACAGTATTTGTCACATTCATTTAAAGCTGTTATGTTTACTATGTATTAAAGTTTAATAGCAATAGTAGATGTTTATTAGAAATATTGCTGAGAATATTTATCAGGTTTTACAAAATCATTTTAAGAAAACAAGATATTGACATTAACAAAATAACATTTTTAGGGAAGCTGGCTCCCTACTCATGGTATTTTAAGAGATCATTTGTATATTATTTATCACTCTGTTGTAATGATGTTTTGAGATACTTTTATAACAAATTTAACATCAAAAACTAATATACTTTTTAAAAAATATTTCCTTTTATTAAAGTGCATTCTTCTTACTGGTGAGTTAATGCCATAAATCTCAACTTGGTTTAACTTATTAGATCAAATTATCTTGAGCATTTGTATCTGGGGGGAATAAAGGTCCTAATATTCATGTTTATTTAAACTTTAAATTTTTAGCAATAGCTAAACAGCTTTTCTGAAGCATTTCAATACTTAACCATTCATACCAATATACATTTCTTTAAATCTGTGCAAATTACTAAAAAACCTGTTTGAATCATTATATTTGATTTCAGCTGCAAACCAAATAGAATATCTGATCTGTTCAATTTCAAAATATCCATTTTGTTCTTTCTCTACCCATAAATATGCTACAATGTCTGAATGTACTTTGTCAAACTACCCTTTAACCAGGGATTTGTCTTCATACTGTTAATATAATTCTAATGAAGCTGTACGTAGAGACTGAATGTGAAGTCTGAGCACAAACACCCCTACATTTTACAGGTACTCCTGTTTTTAGACCTCTAGGAATGTATCAGAGAATGTTTTCGTAATTTTGTCTAACTCAATCTGTAATGAAAACTTAAAAAAAAAAAAAAAAGTCCTTCATTTGGGGAGGGACATGGGAATGCTGCATTATTGCCCTCTTTCTGAAAGGACCTTTCCTCTGCTTACCTTTCAACATGCTTCAAGTTTATCAACGCTACATTTTGTATTTTTCAAGCAAGTATAAACTCTGCAATAAAGAGATGTAGTTTTTTTAAGACGGAGTTCTTCATTTCTGAATGATTCATCTATATAAGGAACATCTCAAAGTTATTCAAGATCTACCCAAAACCCCCTCGTAACTGTTGTGTTTATATGTAATTGTTATATGTAATGTTAATTTGTCTCCCTCTGAAATCTATTTCAAAGAAGTTTCATTGTTTCAAACCAATGATTATTAAATGCATTTCTTTCAAAGTCAGGACAAAATTTCTTAGAACAGAAAACTCTAAGTTAAAACGCCTATACTTCATTTTGAGACCAAACAGCAAAAAGAATTTCTATTTCTTCTTTTTCTCATGGAATTTAGTCATTAACATACACAAGACCACTACTGGATTCAATTATCTTTATTAACCTATCAATGTTACATTTTATACATAATACCTAGTTGTCTTCTCAAAGGGGTCTAGTTTAGTACATCATGTTAATAAAAAGCCAAGTTAAGATGGCTAAACTTCAACCTAGCGTTTTAATATCCTCCAGACAAGGCAAGCTAGAAAGTCAATCATTTTACACACATCAGAGTAGTGTTCCAAAATAACTAGGCAGCTGCTACACTTTTAAGCAAGGGAAGAAAAACACTTTTCATTTTGGTCTTTTTGTGTTCCAGCAAATTATACTTTCAATTAACAGCAACAATGATATCATAAAAAATGCTCTGCTTTTTAAATTTCTGAACTTCAGTACAAATTAAAATAGTAGTATTGGAGTCTTTTGGGAGGCAAATAGCTAGCAGCTACAGTCATCCACGCAGCGGAGCCTCTCTATCGATAACCAGGTCCGGGTTGGGTATAGCCCTGACCAAACGGCGGGCGGGTGCGTGCATAAGGGTTAGGCCCACTGGGAGGTGGAGTCATAGTACTTCCGGGAGGTGGAGTAAAACCTGGTCTTGGTTGATAGGCCCCGGGTTGGCTTGGAGCCATTCCAGGTTGTGAGGCAGGGGCCACAGTGTAACTGGTAGGCTGAGAAGTCTGGGTGGTGTAAGTCTGTGGAGGGTAACTGCTCGCCTGGTACTGCTGCGCTGGTTGAGCAGGCAGCTGCTGAGGCTGGCCAGCAAACGCAGGAGCCGGTGCCTGGGAAGCTGGCTGCTGGCCATATCCCTGGAACTGCTGAGGTTGTTGGGGTCCGGTCTGCTGACTATAGCCTGCTGAAAAGGCAAAATAAAGTACATATAGATCGTATTTTTCTTTTGGTGAAAGGTTTTCCAGAGAATTAGTCTTACTGTTATGGACCAAAAAAGATGAGAAATTGAAACTCATTCCTAAGTATTCATATAACAAGTAGGGTAATATATAGTCCATCATATAATATTACTTCAAAACCAAGTAGTATCAAAAAAAGGTTATTTCTAAACAATTTTTAAACCCTCTAATCTAAATTGAAACCACTACATATTTCTTCATTACAAATGTACAAATGTTTCTAGACTACATAATCCCTAAGAGCAAATACCTGTTCTAGCATAATTCCTAGTGTAGAATAGATGCTCAAATGATAAATGCAGGAATTAATGTAAAGCTAGTCATTAACCTGGTGTAGAGGGGAGGCCTACTTAACAGCTGTACCAAGTAAAAACACATTGAGACAATGAATATTTTTAAATGAAGCAATGATGCTACAAATACATCTTATTGTGCTAATGAGATGCTTTAAGGTTCACTCACTCTATAAAAACCAAGCCATTTAAGAATGAACATTATGTACCCACTTTCACAATCCTTAAATTCTTTTAGATTTAGTATCTGAAGTTTTGCCTTTGTAACTCAGAATTCTGACTTAGTAGTAACAGCATAACACATAAAAAGCACATGATATTGCCCCACAATATCAACATCTATATGCATTATTTACTAGGATTTTTTTAAAATTTTTTTAAAGAACAAGTCTGCTTCACTAAAATCTTTTATCTCTACCATGAAACACACCTGCAGCTACTTGCAATGAAACCTCTCCAATGACTGGAATCCTGTCAGCATTAAATACCAGATACATAAGAAAATAATTAAAATATGTACAACCCTGCATTTAAATTAAAAAAAAAAGGATTGAATGAATTTGAGTATATTCTGAACTCACCTTGAACCTGGGTTCAAAATTTACTCATGAAAGAAACCTTTCTGACACAGTCCATGAGTAAAACTGGAAAAGCAGAGGGAAACTGCCAAACCAACAGTGTCAAAAATGGTCCAATGTTACCACCACCACTTACAGTCTCCAAGCAGAGTATTTAGTTGACTATTTCCACATCTCCCAATCAAATTCAAGTTAATAGGACTAGTGGGATCAGAAATACAAAGATGATGATTTGAAAACTAAATTTTACTCGAGTGAAGACGCTGACTAAAATCATTAAGAACAAGCTTAACTTTTAATAAGTAAATCAAGCATCTAAGGCATTTTACTTACGGTAGCATTCAAATACTGAAGTCAATTCATGATAAAATCTTGAATGTCATACAACTTCTCCTATCCTCTACATAAAATTTATTTGCTTCATTTTTTTAACTGTAAGTTTTGAAGAAACAGAAGAACTCAGCTTTTACACTGAAAATGTCTATACAAGTTAAGACTCTGAGCAAAATACTGCTGCCTTTTCATCCTGGCAGCTCAAATCCAGACTGGCTTTTTAACTGAGGCTGGGAACAACCAAATCCTTAATTATTTCTCAACAGAGGGAATAACTCCTATGGGCCTAATGCCATTTCATTAGCAACCTATTAACTCTTTGATCATAATGTGGCAGTGCTTCTATTATGTGTACAGCCCCACCCTCTCCCTTGAAAAACAACTTTGAAGAACAACAAAAATCTCAAGAAATGGAAATTATGTGATTTTTTAAAAATAATTAATGAATAGCGTAGGACAAGGGATCATATGATCCACAAAGTCTAAAATACTTACTATCTAGCCTTTTATGGCAGCTAAGTCTGCTACCACTGCCCTAGGCTGGAGAATGCAGAATGATATTAATTAACAGCAAAGTCAAATACACCGACTCTGAGCTCCCCCACTGAATGGCTGCATGTCCTTCATGTGTCACAACCTTTCTGAACCCGTTACAACTGCCTCTTTTTTCAAATGAGTTGGCTAGACAAGTACAAAAAGTTTTCAACCCTGCCTACACTTTAGAATGACCTACAATGCTTTTAAAATATCAAAGCCCGAGTCCCATTCCTAACCAAATGAAACAAAATATCTGGGAGTAGAGCCTAGGCACCTTTAGCTTTCAAAAAAAGCTCTCCAGGTGATTCTGAAGCACAGAGGGAGTTGAAATCCCCTGGATTAGAATGATGACTAGGTCTTTTCAGATCTGATATCTATTATTTCTACAAATTATATAATTTATAACACTCTGACTTTAAAGGACTGCAAACCTAAAATAATCCTAATAGCATAATCCAAGCTTAAATTCATCCCACCTATTTTACATAATTAAAAACTAACAGCTATAGGTTAAATCACTCTATAGCAAATACAATCCATATGAAAACTGCTACATGCGCTAAAATATGTCCAAACTTCAATTAAAGATGGAATTTTATGGACTTGTGCAGAAGTCATGACACTTTTTTTGGACAGCCTGAGAGTAAATATTCTAGGTTTTGTGGGCCACACAGTCTCAGCTGCAACTACTCAGCTCTGCCACGACAGAGCAACAGACAGCACAGAAATGAACAGGTGCAGATGTGTTCCAATAAAACTTAATTCACAAAAACTGGTGACATGCCATATCTGGTCCATGACTATAGTTAGCTAATTCCTGCTCTTGTTGAACTATAAAACTCTGTAAAACAGAATTTTAGGCAAGATTCAACTTAGATAAATTATTTTTAATTATATGAACTTTTGATACTTAAATCTTTGGCTGTGAAACATGAGTTAAACATAAACTCCCTCTCTGATACAACAAATATAAAGTTATCTGATTTATAATGATCACAGTCAAAGCTACACTAGAGATTTCATATTTAAATATGGATAATCTTCAGTGGACAAAAGGTAAAAGAAAATACCCAGAATGCCTACATTCAATATTCTTAGCTGCCCGGATTACATTTGACACAAGTTTATTTTTTTGGCCTATTTTTGTATTCCCACATACTTCGGGAGATTTAAAAACCTAAGTAGCTTAATTTGGTTCTTATTTATTAAGATTGCCTTTTCATGTATGAGGAAAATGTTAGTATTTTTACAATACAATGGAATTACATGTGACATACAATGGGTGAAAAAATCTTGCATTTCTGCCGTTCTGAGTCACCCAAGAGGTGTAGATCATTTCAGTATAAGATAGCTTGTGTTAAAATGTTTTCAAACTATCAGTTATTAAAAAATCACATACTGTGACTGTTGACTGAAATGCTAACTTAAATATTTATGCAAAACTTTAAAAATAAACAAATGTATTTCCTCCCACAAAGAAATACTTAACGCCTCCTATGACAATGTAAGTACTACAAATCAAGGAGTGAAGAGGAAAGGATCAAAGTGTAATGAGTTCAGAAACAGCTCACAACCAATGAGTCACCTCCCTCTGGACGCGCGCTCACCTGAATACTGAATCCCGTACTGCTGGGGCGGCTGAGGTGGCGCCTGCGGGGGCTGAGCCCCGTAGCCGGCCTGCTGCGGGTACTGCTGGTACATCGGACCTAAAAAAGACAAGACAAGGGAAAATAGGTTTCATTTGGCAGAGAGAAATATTTTTAAAGTACATTTAATTCTCTCCCCACCCCAACACATAAATACACTCAGCAACAAGCCC